GCCTGCTCCTTGTCCCCAGCCGGGCTTGCAGGAGCTCGTCCCAGGCCCTGATAACGCCGGGCTCCCCGCCAGCCTCACGTGCCTGCCTCCACCCAGGCCTAAGCAGACCACGGGATGATACGGGGAGAGCTCGTCGTCGCTAAAGCTGCTGTTGGGAAGGTCGCCTCAACCGGTTTTGCTGGTAATTTGAGTATTTCTAGATACAGCTTTAAATGCAGCTTCCTCTTTAGAAGCAAATACAGAGAGAGGTGAGTCTGATTCCATTAGGAAGAAAGGAAAAACGAAACAAACCCCCCAAACAGTTCAACAAGAGTCCTTTGAAAAATCATCCAGCAGAGGATTACAAAGGCGCAAGTGTCTCTGAGCCAGGGGAGGGAAGTGCCTGTGCTCAGCTGGAGCGCTGCTGGAGGCTCTCCCTGCCACTGGAGGGCACAGCCAGCCTGGCAGAGCCGTGCAGCAGAGGCACTGGAGAAAGCAGCTGCCTTTCTACTCCTCATTAATCGGTTTTGATCACGTCTGGTGAAGAAATCGCTTTGAGTACTGTATTAGAAGTACTGGATCACCGATTCGGACTAGGCATTGACTCGGGTTAAACCTTTCTGCAAAGCAGCACCCTTAACAAGGGCAAAACAAGGGGGTTTATCGTTGCAAACAGGGATGAAGCACATACTGAAAGCTGAAAGCCACATAGGCTGGTTGGAAACGTAGCCTGAGATGAGCTTAGGGAAGCAGCTGCAATCAGGGACGTTCGTTCTGGTGCGGTCGCACCGCTTTCCCCGGGGGGATGGCTGTGTTTTCCCCGGCAAGGTGCCGGCCGTGCCAGGCAGCAGCTCACACCCGCTCCGGCAGCACGACCTGCAGCTTTCCGCAAACCCCTGCTTGGGTTTAGGTGGTTTTTTGCAAAGCATCATAAAGTCAGAGAGGGCAGAACTTGTTGCTGGTACCTCCTCACTGTTGAGCACGTCTCTCTCCTTTTAGCTCATCGAGAGATCCCCCAAGACCTTACCGAGGTCGATGGTCTATGTCAGCATCATCACGTTTGTCATGGGAGCCAGCATCCACTTGGTTGGAGACTCTGTAAACCATCGCCTGATTTTCAGTGGCTACCAGCACCATCTGTCTGTAAGAGAGAATCCCATCATCAAGAACCTGAAGCCAGAGACACTGGTAAAAAGGCTGTGTTTTATACAAGCACTTAAAAAATACATTAATTGCTTCTCTTATTTAATAGCATCCCGTTCCCTCTGCCCTTTTAAATCTCTTTTCATTGCGTTGCAGATTGATTCCTTTGAGCTGCTGTACTACTACGATGAATATTTAGGTCATTCGATGTGGTAAGCAATTTACAGTCTATCTAGCGGCCTCAGAATATAACACAAGGAAGGGCAGATCTGATCTGATCGTGGCTTAATATGTAAAAAAATAAAACGCAGCTGATGGGAGCTGGCTGGGGCTAATGTTCTCATAGCCAGTGTGATTACAGAGCATCTCTCCCTTGGAAAATCGCCCATTGCCCCCAGCTTTGTCTCTGTCTCAGTGATATTTCTAGGACGTGGCCGTGGTTTGGCAGCCACAGGGGCCAGAGGAGGGGGCTCATCTGTTCTCCCCCCTCGGCCACCTCCCACGGGGCTCCACAGACTCCTTGGCTGTCACCACCCATGGTTTTGCTCCCCTGGAAGTTGATCCCCAAACCACCCAACCCTGCCCGGTCTCTCTAGCCCTTTGCTCGCTCCCCTCCTTTGCCATGCACCCATTTAGTGACCCCCCCCAGTGAGAGGGAAGGGTTGCTTGCACAGCCAGACCAGTGCGGCCCAGTAACAGAGCCCATATGGCCACGGTGGTGCGGGGAGCTCAGTTAGGGTCTGCTTTCAGCGCTGTCACCCCCAGCTGACCCTAGAGATGCTTGTTCCAGCTGGACCGTGTGCTTCATCCAGCTGACCCAGGGGCAGGTAACGCTGGTAGGGCCCGCAGGCTGCGGCAGGTCCTGTCGGCACCTTCCCACCCACATGGGCAGCACCCGGTGCTGCAGACACGTCCTGTGTCCTGCTGCTCCGCCTGCACCAAAGACCCCAGGAAGGTCTGGCCCTTTACCTGCTGCCAGATAATCCTGAGACCTCTCTGGGCATGGACAGAGATCTCTCCCCCTTCAGGCTTTCCCGGTTTATTTGCTGTTCCTTGAGTGCTGTGAAGCAAGAAAATCCCTTCCTTTTAAAAAAAAAAAAAACACAAAACAAAACAAAAAAAAACCGGGCTCTGTTCTGCTGTTGAAATCCTGGTCCACGTCCTGCTTTCCTGCAGTTCAGCTTTTCACACAACACAATGCTCTTCAACAGCCTCTTAGAGCCTGGGAGCGTCACAAATGCAATTGTTCGACGGAGCACTTGAGCCCAGCGTTTGACCTAATCAGCAAACTTGGGCTTTTCCTGCCAGGGCCCCAGAAGCCTCGTTATCCGCAGGAGCACTCGGTGCAGCCAGGACGTACAATAGCCCAGCACCGGGCACCGCCAGCCCTTCGTCTGCCGGTCGGATGCAGCGTAGCCAGAGCCGTGAGGCTGGCAGAGAGGCGATGCCCTGGCTGGCACCGCGGGACCCCACGGAGCCCCTGCCCGGGCACGTGTGGCCAGCGCAGGCTGGGTGGCCTCTTCTTCTGCTCTTTCACCAAATTAACTCACAGGTTCAGCATAGGCATTGCCTATGTGCATGGTTTGGATTTTTGGGGGGAGTTTAAGCACTACCCAGGGTCACACCACTGATCAGTGTGGTGTTTCTGTTTGCAGGTACATCCCTTTTTTCCTGATACTGTTTATATATTTCACCGGCTGCTTCACCCCTGTGGAAGAGGAGAGCAGGATGCCAGTGCCTGCCTTGCTTCTGATGGGGCCCAGCAGCCTTTATTACTGGTAAGCGGCTTCTGCCCGCTCTGGGTGGGCGAGGGACGAAGCGGGAGTACCGTAGGCAGGGGCTCGCCATTCCCCAGGGCAGCACTTGCAGATTTTGCTCTGCAGGTCTGGAAAATCCAATCAAATCTGGTTGAAATTGGCAGCCGCTTTAACCTTTGCAATTTGGGAAAACTTCAGGGTCGCTCAGCAGCACTTTGGTCCCTCTTTGGGGTGTTCTTCAACCACACTGGCGGGCACATTGTAATTGCTGGAGCTCCAGCTTCCAGCCTCCCCGCTCCTTGCTGTCTGCCCCCTTTCAGAGCCTGCCCTTTGCTGCGCTGTTAGACAGTTCCTCGACAATTTTGGGGCGGTCGCCCGCTGCCTGCAGTGCATCTGCCTGGTCTCAGGTTGTTGGTGGCAACGGGGATGCTCTCACCAGTTGTCCAGGGACTTTACACAGAGCCCAGGCCACCCGTGCGATGCTCAGATGCTGCCTCCTCAGCTCGCCCTGCGGGTCCAAATAGCCTTTTGAGAGAAGTCTTCTTTATTTCCCATTTTCATTAGCCTCATCTTCCCAAATGGATTCCCTGATGGCAGCCAAACAACTTTTCATTCATCTTCAAGAGATGATGTTCTCTTTTGCCCATGGCTTTGCCCCCTGCTGAGACTGGTTTTATACAGTAAATTAATTTTTGATAGTCAAAATCATCAGGAAGATTTGGTCAGTTCCCGGTTACCCCATTGCACTTCCTTCAAATAGATCAGCATGAATTTCTGCAGTTTGTGTGCTGGCGATTTAAGAACCAGGGAGTGTGATTCCTCCTTCCCCCTGCTAACACCCACTCAGGACTGGGCACTGCCAGGGACAGCAGAGGGGGAGCAGTGGAGTTTTGGACTAAACGAGCCCAACATCCGCGGGTGGGATCCAGAGCCTGGCTTTGGTTCTGTCTCTGAGCATCCCATTCACAAACTGAGCCCAGCACCTTTCAAATCCCATACAGGGCACGCATTTCCTTACCTGTTCTCTTTACGAAGCCCGCAGCACAGTTGTTAAATTACTGATAAGAAATGTGAAAACAAATCCCAGCTTAAAAGCCAGCCGTAGAAAGCCGCACAGCTTCGTTTGTCCGGATGCGGAGCAGGGAGAAGGGGGAGCCCCCGGGTAAAGCTGGACGTGCTGGGGGCTGCCACCACTCGGTGCTTTCTTCTGGGGGGGCACTAACGGGTGGTTTTGCTTTGTAGGTATCTCGTGACGGAGGGTCAGATCTTCATCCTCTACATTTTCACTTTCTTTGCCATGATGGCTTTAGTGATGCACCAGAAACGCAAAGGACTGGTCCTGGACAGCAATGGGCTTTTTCTCTTCTACTCCTTCATCATAACGTTGGTCCTCATTGCTGTTTGGGTGGTTTGGCTGTGGAATGACAAAATTCTCAGGAAGAAGTACCCTGGCGTGATCTATATCCCCGAGCCGTGGGCATTTTACACCCTGCACCTGAACAACCTCCACGCAGCAAAGGAAAGTTTCTAAGTTTTGATATTTTAGAGTGATGTCAAGAAGAAGAAGAAAAAAATTATCTAGTTTTTCTAATGTAGATGTATTTCAAATAAATTCCTGACCAATATTAGCTGTGAGACATATTGTACGTTAACTAGACCGAGCTAGGGAGGGGGTGCTCGAACAAAAGGGAAAAAAATCTTAGCGACTTACCGCTTCAAAGCCAGGGTCATGGCAGGGCTTTGCGCCGACCAGCCCTCGCAATCACACACCACGGTCCCACGCTGGACTTTTTCAGGTGCTGATGGGACAGCACCAAATCCCTCCCGTATCAGAGCAGGGCACAGCACCCCCGCCCCACGGTGAACCCACGTACCGCCGTCACCGCCCCGGAGAGCATCCTGGCATTTCACGGGAGCGGTTTGCTGGGCTCGGAGCACTCTCGCCCTCCCCCTGTCTTGGCACGGGGAGAGGTATCTGCTCCTCCCACGCTGCTCCCAGCCGAGGGAACATGCTGGGAAGAGGCTGAGCCACCCAACCTTGGGTCTGCATCACGGCTCCGCTCGGATGTGCCTCCCCGGGGAGCCCTCCCAGGGTCCCGGCCGCCAGCGCCAGGGTTCAGCCCTTGCTGCTGAGTGCTGGCATGGTGCAGGAAGGGCCTGGCTGGCGGCAGAAGGACCAATTCCCCACAAACACAGCCCAAAAAGAGCCTCAGGCAGGGGGTGAGCTCCAGCATCGGCCCTGCTCACGTGGGGTCTGCGCCGCTGGTGGCTTCAGCTCCCGCTCCCCACTTCTCCGGCCTTGGGTGATGGAGCCGAGCTCCTGCAGCTCCAGCTGCCTCCCTGCGACGGTTTGTGCCTATAAGATTTGTATTGGAGCCCTGTGTGATGGAATCCAAGTGGTGGAAGAAAAAAAAAAAAAGGTATTAGTGAAAAATGCTGAATCAAGACATTTAGTAAAAGCCGCCTGACTCACGTTGCACCCTGAAGCAGCTCTGTTCCTTGGAGAACCTTTATCCCACGAGCGTTCAGCATCCCAAATGTGTCATTGGACCAGGGCAGGGCCTGGTCCGTCCTATGGTGGTCACTACGGCAACCAAGTTTTGTTCCTGGGTCTAGA